GCCACATGCAGGCCAGTCCTCCCTTTTTTTCTGATGCTATTTTTCTGAGGGGTTTTTTTTCTCCTGTTAAATTACTACAATCATTTTTAAATCTTGCTGTGGAGTTTTTTTTTCACCCCTCGTTTTTTTTTTCGTTTTTTTTTCATATTCATTTTGCTTAACGGACTTCTAATCTCAAAAACTATGCATTGCACTTTGTGCAGATTTTGCCTACATCGTCTAAAATTTGCATGTAAATTTATTTTTACTTGCTTTGATGGGACCCCGACGGGTCTTTAATAAAATAATTGAATTGAATTGAATTGAATCTTGACTGCACGAAGTCTTTCCATTGTGTTTTTCAGCCTTGTTGCACTGCAGTGTTGGATTCATGTTTCTCTGTATACAAACACCGGGATCCTTTCTGCGAAGATTCCGCGGGGAGTCTTATATCTCTCAGGTGATATGTTTTTAGGCTCTCATTTGAATGAGAGTTGGTTGGACGCAGATGAAGGACGGCACACTTCTGCACATTGAAATTTAGAAGCCATTTCTCCGACCATGCTTGCGATCGATGCAGATTGTTTTTATGGTCCTCTGATTGTAAGGACTATTAGTGACTTGCTAGAGCTTAGCGTCGTCGACAAACATTATTTTGCCACAGACGAGTTCCTGAAGGCTGTCATCAGCATAAAGGATGAAGAGCAATGGTCCCAGAGCAGAACCCTGAGGCAAACCACTAGTTACGCTCACCCAGTTTGACATATCATCTACGATACAGACACGTTGTTTCCGACCAATCAGAAACGCCCTAATCCAGTCCAGAAGATCGTCCCGGATGCCGATGGCGCTCAATTTATGAAGAAGGCATTGGTGTGGGACAGTGTCGAATGATTTGCGGAAATCGATTTACATGACATCAACCCCAAAACCCTCTTCTAAAGCCTTAGTTCAGACCTCCAGACTAGGCAGCAGACTTGAGCGGCAGGAACATCCTCTCCGGAAGCCATATTGGAAATCCTGCAAGATGCTATTTTCTTCACAAAATTGCTGTATAGCGCTCTTTATTAGAGCTTTAATCGTATTGCATGAGAGGCAAGTTAAGCTAATAGGCCTGAAGCTGCTTGCTGCCATCCTGCTAGCTCCCTTATGTAAGCAAACGAGGTTAGTTGTCTTCCACTGTGATGGCAACCTTCCTGTTCTCATTGACAGTCCAAATAGAGTCGAAAGAGGCTTTCACAGCTCCGTTGATAGCTCCTTAAGTATCAGCCCAGGAATTCCGTCGGGTCCAGGAGACTTATCTGGTTTTATTTGAGTGAGGACGCGTCTTACTTCGACAGAAAAGGCAACGGTTTCAGTGACGGGAGTACCTTGGCGCATTTAGAACTCCCGGCTGGCTTGGCCAATTTCAAACTGCGGATTGTCTTCTGAGGACTCCTCCGTAGGAACCGGTTGAACAAAATGAGAGAGCAGTTGCGCATTCTGTGGCCCTTCGACTAACAAGTTTCCGAGGCCATCCTTTAGACGCGCAATTTCGTCCCTATGTTTCCTCCTACTGCGGATGTACCCGTAAAACTTCTTGGGACATGTAATGGATTCTGCTATCAGTCGGCGCTCGGATGAAGTTCTAGCAACCTGTATTTGTTTGCGGTATTTCATTTAATTTAATTTAATTTATTATTAAATGCCAGTTTACAGGCATTGTCAAGGGAAGCGATTAAACACAAATCCGACCAGCAGTGAGAAAAAAACTCCTAAGGAATAAAAATATAGTTGATGGTGGTTTTTATGGTTTGGAGGGTTTGGAGGGTTCAGGAGAAAAAAAAACTGCTGGCGGTAGATTTTCGACCGTCAAGAAGGGGGGAGGGGGTTACACGGTATCGGACATTATCGGACATCAATTCCTTTCATGAAGTTGGGGATAGCCAAAGTAAAGGCGTTGAGGAACAGCTGGTGAGACCGGCCATAGTGTTCAGAGACCACAAACGCCATCGCTACGGTAGAGTCCATCAGTGGATTCAGCACCCAAAATTTGAGGAAGCTTTTCTGAATGCAAAAATCGAGTAATAGTTCTCTTAAATAAAGGATAATTTTGCAGAGTTTTCACACTCATGGGTAGTTTATTCCAAATAGCAATTGCATTCACAGAATAGAACCGAACATATATTTAGCAGTACGTGCCAGAGGCAGAAATAAGAAGACCTCACGGTGACTGTTACGTCGTGGGTGGACATGGTGCCTTAAAGAGGTGAGTGGATGAAATGTGTGATTATATAAGAGTTTAAATAGCAAAAATAGTCCCTTTTGTAATCTACGGAACCATAAAGGATCGAGGCCTGTAAGCCGGCAACGTTCTTGGTAAGACAACTGTCGGTGTTCCGCGGCTAAAATTCTCTTGGTAAAAAAGTGTTGAATGGATTCTATTTTCTTCCGCTCAGTAGCACGCATGAGGCTAAATGAAAACGAACAGTATTCCAGACCAGGTCTAACGAACATGTTGAAAAGGCGCATTCTAATGTCCCTAGTTTTAAAATTTCGGAGGATAAACCCGATCGTTCTACGTGCTTTGGAGACTATCAAGGCACAGTGCTCCGAGAGATTGAGACTCTTGGAGTATGATACGCCCAAATCCTTTATAACCCCTGGCACATTTATTGCGTGACCTTCAATACTTAGTTGAGGTTGGCGGTCGTCGCCAACCACCATGACTGAGCACTTATGCCAAGAAAGAGAAAGGCGCCATGTGCGGCACCACTGGGCGAAAGCCTGTAGATCGCTCTTTAGGAGCTCAAGCACGATGTCATAATCTGCCGGCTTATATCGATATGCAACTTTAAGATCATCGGCATACATGAAAGGCTTACCATTCTGAAATAAATCGGGTACATCATTAACGAAAAGGCAAAATAAAAGCGGGCCGAATACACTACCCTGAATGATTCCACTCCTCACACGTGTGGGGTTGGAGATGGTATTGGAAATCTTAACTCGTTGTGTACGAGTGCCCAGGTAAGAGGATATAAAATTCAAAAGTTTGCCACCTATTCCGAAAGAGGACAATTTCAAGAGGAGAAGAGCATGGTCAACACGATCAAATCTGTAGTGAAATCGAAATATACAGTGTAAAGTGCAAAACCATTGTCCCTAGATCGGAGAACATAGTCAAAGAAAGATAGATAGATAGATAATTTTTTATTAAACACCCGTCGGGATCCCATCAAAGCAAGTTAAAATAAATTTACATGCGAGTTTTAGACGAGGTAGGCCGAATCCTTACAAAATGCAATTCATAGTTTCTGAATTAGTAGTCCATGGAGAAACATGATGATTGAGGAGTGAAAAAAAACTCCTTAAAAAAAGTTAAAAATGATTGGATTAATTTTACAGGGGAAAAAACCCTCAATAAATATAATGACAGAAAAAAGCGAGCAGGACTGGCCTGTAGGTGGTGGTATATAACGGAATGTTGTCGGTCATCGACAGGGTAGCAATAAATCTCAGCCTTGAGGGGTACGAATGTGGGTCAGATAGGACTGGCTTGCATATGGCATTGTATACGGGATTCACAATTGAGATCGTCTGGGTCGGATTGATACGCCGCGTCAAAGAGGCCAGACGAGAGGAACTCAGATGCGATCGGCCACAGCAAGCTTCCAGCTCAGCCGAGCAGTGGGGAAGGGAGGTACGACCGAACTACTAGTAGACAGTGAATACTGAGGGTTCCGCCGTGAGCGCCGACAGACCGCATGAGGTCGGAATTCGGGAGGTGACATCCAAAACCGCGAAAATTGTCGCTATGGGGGAGGAGTGATAGCAGCGGGTTTAGAAACCAATGCAAAACAGGGGTTTCTAATGATATAATTAAGAGTTACCACTTGATCTACCACTAAATCCCAGGAGGACCCTTCTCGAAGTCAAGAATCTGAGTGTTCGGGAAGGAGACCGTTAACAGGGCCTTTATGCTTTCCGGTGTAAGATGTTTGCGCAATTTCGACTTGAATACCAGTAACTTAGGCGATAATCTAATTTCAGGCGGAAGATTATTCCAAAGGAAGGCATATTTGAAAGCAAAGAAGAGGGAGCGCTTAGATGTAGTACAAAGAGGCGGCGGAATCACCATGCAAGAGGTGCGCGTGGCATAAGACCGATCTCTCGGAGTGAGAGTATCGATGAGCGAAAGATTGGAGCTAGAATTGATGCGAAAAGGGAGCAAAGGCCAGATTCGAGTCTTCTTACCCACAAAAATTTAATGTTCGCCAGCTGACATCTCTGAGAATAAGAAATACTGGACGAAGCTTCAGGGAACAGATTCCGGGTGAAAACCCTCTGAACATTTTCGATTTTATTACGGTCGCAGGCGTTCATTAAACCGAAGAAAGGACAGCAATATTCGAGGACTGGAAGAACAAACATTTGATAAAGTCTTAGCTTCATTTCCGGAAGGAAAAAATTATGCGATATGAATCCACATATCTGCGCGGCTTTGGCAGAGATTCTATCTGCATGAGGTGATAAGGCAAGTTTATTTGTATAAGTTAGACCTAGGTCCTTTATGGTGAGGCATTCTGAGAGTGGGTTATTCTGAAAAATTATGGGACCAGGAAGTTTGGTAGGACCAAAAGACATGAAATTACACTTGAGTGATGAAAACTCCATCTGCCATGTCCAACCCCATCTGCTTAAGCGTAGTAAATCGGCATTAATTTTTTCAACACAAACATTTGCGGTGTCCATAGAGTATGAGTAAACACACTTGAGGTCATCGGCATAAGTAAAAGTTTGCGAATTTCCGAGTCCAGTCGAAATATCATTGATGTACAGAAGAAAGAGTAGCGGACCCAGAACCGTGCCTCGAAGTACGCCACTCGTGATCGGGTGGGGTGTCGAGTAGCTATTACCGACCATGACTTTCTGATATCGGTTGAACAGATATGACCTGATGAAGTCGAGTAGAGACGGCCGGATGCCGAGAGCTTCCAATTTCACTAAAAGACGTCTATGGGGCACCTTGTCAAAGGCTTTGCTAAGATCAAAGTAAATAACTACCACTGACTGCCGTTCACTACGAAGAGAAGTGATTAGATTAAGAAAAGCCAAGTGACATGTTTTGCAGGATCGTTCAGGTAAAAATCCATGCTGACTAGAGCTCAGAAGCCGATTAGTTAGACAGAAGTCAAGAATTTCATTGAAAATAATCCTTTCAAGAAGTTTTGCTAGAGACGGCGTTTTGTGCATGCGCCGATAGTTATTAACATCGGACCGAGATCCTGACTTGAAGACGGTAATGATTGTTGACGTTTTCCATGTTTCAGGAAAGAATCCTTTTGAAATATAAACCGAGAATAAATGACTGAGCAATATGGGAAAGTCGGACGCTTGTTTAATAATCGAATTTGGAATCCCGTCCGTTCCTGAGCAGTGTGAGTATTTCAAACGGCTTATGTGTTTCTTAATGAGATCTGAGGAGACATCAATTGTACTAAGTGTCCTGTCTGAAAGTGATTGAAAGAAAGGCACCGGATCGGACTCGGTAGCAAGGTGTTTTGCAAAGAAAGCACTAAACAACTCCGCCTTGTCAGTGTCATCGGTGAGGAAGACTTTGTTATCATTTAGCAGGGGTGGAAGTTCATGACCACGCTTAGAGGAGGACCGATGACGGAAGATGTTAGCGACCGATTTGCCAGGGTTCGAACCACTGAGATCAATTGATTCTCTTTGCCTGTCGCGCGCTTGGCGCATCCTTGAGGCCATCTCAAAAATCTCTGTGATTCTAAGATGAACTGATACAGAACTAGTGGGTAGGTCACGCAGTTGTCGCCTCAACTTATTTAGTCTATTCTGAAGAAAATGAGGAACAAGGGAATCTAAAGAATTAGGCTTGAGATATCTACGCGGCACAAACTCTAGAATGTCCTTGGAAACATTGGACGTGACATCACGAAGAATGGTTGCATCGCTACAAGTGAGGAAGCCACACCAATCCAAGGATCGCATATAGTTATTTATTAAGTCGCTATCTACGCAGTCGTAGTTCATGTAAGTCCGAACGGCGCTTGTCTTTTTTGAAAAGGCAAGCGGTAAGCAACAATGAATTAATACGTGGTCACTGTCAAAGAGGTCCTTTTTAAAGCAACAGAAAGAGGAGCAATGTCATTGGTAAAGATTAGATCTAAAATGTGATTATCTCTTGTTGGAGCGCGCACCAGTTGGGACCAATTAGAAAAATTGACAATATCTTGAAAGGGCTGGAATCTGGGTGGAGAGCTATTGGAAACCCAGTCTTTTTCAGGGAGGTTAAAATCCCCAGTGATTATTTTAACATCGAAAGCAGCTTCCGAAATTAATTTAAAGATTTCACAGAGTTGAGAATCATCACTGGCTAAAGAATTTGGAGGATTGTAGATACAGCCAATAATTGCCTTTCTTTGCGGTGAGAGAATAACAGATGCAAAGCAGAAGTTTCCCGTGAATGAGGAAACATCCAAGTAATAGGGAGAGTGCTTTAGGTAGGATTTAAGATAAAGAAGACAACCACCCCCACGCCTAGTCGTGCGGTCTTGGCGGTAAAAATCGAAGTCATCTATGAGAAGGGCAGAGTCAGGAATTAGATAATGGGTCCAAGATTCTGTTACACATATAATATCAGGCGTAATTTCCAGAGCAATGGCTCTGATTTGGACCATCTTGTTTATAACTGACCTGGCATTCAATAATATAATATCTAATGTGTTTCGAACGGCAATGCTATGTTCGACGGTATTTTAAAAAAATTGGAGGTGGATATGTAAGCTGTGAATTAATGACACTTGGAGAATAAGTGCCAGTTAAGCTAGAGTTATTGACGTACGGGGAGTCAGCAAGAGAAGGCTGAGTATGAGACCTAAAGGATGTAGGGATATAGTTTTCAAACATTGGAATGCTAGGGGAGTTAGAACATGGATAGACTTGTTGGTAGTTAAATAGTGGAGGACGGGGAGGAGAAGGGAGGCTAGAAGAAAAGTAGGGGCTAGTGGGTGAGGGTAGGTCGCTATTAGAATGAAGGTGTGAGAAACTAGGTCTAGGTTGGAAGTCAAAGGAGAAAGGTTGACGTACCTGAGAGCAATTGGCCTAAAGTGGTGGGAAGCCTGAACTAGGTTGGGGCATAAATGATTTAGGGCAATTCATGTATGAATTATTTGCTGGATATATAGTAGGGCTTTGATAAGTAACCGGTACGCAGGACAGAGAATTATTCGGGGATATAATTGGAGCTGCGGGGTTTGTAGACGTGCTGGACTGAACAGACTTGTTAGATATAAGAGAAGGCGTCGTACCCTTAAACGGAACTGTACTACCTATCATTTGGGTCGGAGTCTGATTCAATTTTCGAGTCTCACCGTTCTGACGCCAAGCCACTGGTGACTTAACTGTAGACCTTACAGCACCCAGTTGGACAACAGAAGTTATCGGTCTAGCTGATGTAGACGGATTTTCATGTGTCTCAGCGGGACTATCCGGAGGATACGAAACGACAAATGGGGATGCTGCTGCTGCTGCCGCTGCTGCTGCTCCTGCTGCTGCTGCTGCTGTTGCTGCTGCTGCTGCTGCTGCTGCTGCTGCTACTGCTGCTGCTGCTGCTGCTGCTGCTGCTGCTGCTGCTGCTGCTGCTGCTGCTGCTGCTGCTGCTGCTGCTGCTGCTGCTGCTGCTGCTGCTGCTGCTGCTGCTGCTGCTGCTGCTGCTGCTGCTGCTGCTGCTGCTGCTGCAAGTTTAGGGGCAGGCAAATGAGTCAAGTGGCTTGAGTGAGATGGAGATGAAGGAGAAAGAGGAAGGAGGGAGTCAGATGTCGCAGGAGTAGGAGAAGCTGAATCCTTACGGCCACTTGTATTATGACCGAGTTGGGGAGCATTAAACTGAGAAGCAGTGGGTTTACGTGAGAATAGAGACCCGATTCTACGCTGCATAGGAGTAAGATCATGACAAAGGAAAAATTTTGCCTTTTCTAGGTACGCAGTGACACGCCCTCGATGGGTAAAGATTGTGTCAACCTCGATTGATGAAAAAAATTTGACTAAGATGGGTGGATTTTTGCTACGGGCGGACAGGCGTTTGGCATCGGCTATTTTGTTGTTGAAACCACATGAATACAGGAAATTGGTCGCAACATCAATTGGCCGAGCAGATCGAGGAACATTTTTTAGCAGAAAGTTGTAAGAACGCTTCTGTCTATCACTAGATTAACTGGCGATCAGGTGAAAAAGTGAGTCGAGACGCCTGCATTCTTCAGAGGGAATATCGGAGATGTTCCCGTCGAATAAATGTCCAAGAATTGTCAGCAAAGAGCCAAACTTTAGCATAAAGTCATTGCAGTGGTCAAGTGCAGACATATCAAGCTGCCGACCAATTACAACGGGTAACGACTGACTAGTAATATCATCTGACTTAGATTTAGGTAAAGCTTCTGACTTACGTTTAGTTAGGCCGTGCTTACTTACAAGAGCCGAGAGCTTACGTCAACCAGTGACTTTTGGTCTCATCTTGTCTTGATGCAATTTGTGATTAAGAAAACTTCTGGCAGACAAGTTGACTGAATTTCAGCTAGGGGCTAACGACAGTTAGAGCGAAATCGGATGCACAAAATGAGAATTGCAGAGTGCGATTAGTGAACAACGGGCATAGACTAGCAGAACTCAAAAGGAGATGGCAGCAGGCAGTTCTTAGAGAAGAGGCCTGTATTTAAGGAAATTCAACCAAAAAACAGGTACTAAAATCGTTAGGTCTCACAGAAAAACCACTTAAAATAATATCCTCCACTTATCTTCAAATTTAAAACCAGCGGCTTGACCTTAAAATAATATCCTCCACTTATCTTCAAATTTACAGTTGACAGGTGTCACAAGATCGAGTTTTGAGGAATCTATGCTGAGCAGCACTCAGTAGGTTATTCACTGTTAAGTGACACATCATCTTATCCTTGATCAATGTCTCTAAGATCTTCGAAACTGCGGGGAGGGTGTTTATTGGCCGAAAGTCATCAAATGATGTAGATTTGTCGTGCTTTTGAATGGGCAAAATGTGTGATTCCTTCCACAAGGTAGGGTAAGTTTCACTTTCAAGAGCAAGATTAAATATCTTGCATAAGAGGGATGGGAAGATCGTGTTTGCATCGGCTTTTAAAATGTTTACTGGGACACCATCAGGTCCTGGACTATAAGATTGACGAAAACGCCGAATCGCAACAGTCACATCCCACAGAGTGAAAGTTATCGTTTCTAGAACTGCCCCGGTCAATGACTGGATGGTCGGAAGCGGAGTGGTCGAGTCTTCAATGAACGTTTTGGACAGGAAATCATTGAAGCTATCAGCGGTTAATTGGGCATCAACTATGGGATTTCCGAGAGCGTCTCGGAGGATGGGATGCTGCGAAATTCGGGGAGTTCGTATTTTTCTAGAGAAAAGTTTCGAGACATTTAACGAATGGTTTTCGGTAAACTGGACCTCTTCGGTTAGCTGTTTTTCTTCAGACAATCTCTTAGCTCGATCAAAAATATCACGAATCAAGGGCAGTAGAGAAACATCGTTCTGAAGATGGAAACGACGATAAAGCCTGCGCAATCTGCGGGGAAAGGGTAAGGGTAGGAAAACCCCAGCCCCAACATTAATAATTTTCTTACGGGGGACAAAACAAGAAATAAGCGGATCCAAAATTTCGTACAGATTTGCAGTGCAAAAATTTACATCCGAACTAAGGAAGAAATCAGTCCAGTCTTAGGAATTAAGCTGTGTTAATAATTCGGTTGAACGAGCTGATCGGAAATTGCGGAAAAAGCTATACTTTGGGGACGACGTTTTGTCAGCCTCGAATTCCAACGTTGAAACAACTATGTCATGGTCTGAGCCCCCGAGTGGGCCCTAGGGATGACACTGACGATGGCAAACAGCCTCTACAGAAAATTAAGTCAAGTATACTTGAGCCTCGGGTGGGAAAATCAACAACCTGAGTCCACATCCCGACATCCACAGCCTCAAGAAAGTCATCGAACCTTCTTGGGCCGGAAGGCGGAGACCAGCGGACTTCGGGGAGATTAAAGTCACCCGCAACCAATTGACACTGAAAGCTTGAGTCGGCCGCAGCATGAAATGCCTGTGAGAGTAAACGATCAAAATTGTCGTTGGCGTTGGGCGGGCGATAGACACAGCCAACAAGTAAGGAGAACTCATTTTTTAGTGTAACCTGGAGCCAGCAGCTGCCTTCTACTGCGGAAAAATGCGGGAGGTCCAACGGCAAAAATGTAAGTGTTTGCTTAACGTAGACGCAGCTGCCCCCACCACGGCTATCTTGGCGATCGTTTCTGATGCAATTATAGCCTAGAAGCGAGAGTTCAGAGTCAGCTACTGAGGCTGATGCCCACGTCTCAGTTACTAAAACAATATCAGGACAATGGACGAACACCAGAGTCTGAAGCAAAGGCATCTTATTAAGCAAAGATCTGGCATTTAAAACAAAAAGTTTGAAGGGAAAGGCTGTTTGTTTCTGAGGGAGGTGGGCTACATCGTCCAGTTCTGGGCTGTCCATGGACCAAATGGTCCGGATGCAACCATCCGGTTTTGCAAAAAAATTTGTGGCATCGAAAAATTCTGACGTTGATAAAAAGGTGTAGGACTTGGAGGAGGGAATGACGGGCAGGTGAACTGGTGACCATTGTTAGCTAACTTATTTTCAGCTGGAAATCCGCTGAGCAGATACTGCAACGTATTCCCGCCAGAACCAAACTGAGGATTGGATGAGTTAACTGATTCAGTATGGACATTATCATGAGGAAAACATTGGTAAAACGGCCGTGGAGAAAACAAGTTAGGGAGTGGAGGACGCATTGTTTCCATTGGAGCAAGAGTTTTAATAAACGGCAGAAAAATCGGCATATTCGGCCTAAATGCCTCGATATGAGGGCTGGGGGGGGGGGGGCAGTTGCGAACCCGCTACGTTTTGAGTCGGGGTATTTGAGGCACTGTTAGCCGATTGTGGAGGAAACGATTTTATAATGGTGCTGTATTTATTGGGTGTCCGAGTGGCTGAGACAGCAAATGGATTTGCCTTTGACTTAGACACATGCTTAGGCTTACTAGGGGTTGCTGGGGGAGTTGATAGAGGCGTGTTTATACCAGGCGTGATGGTGTGTTTAAAGAGCTCAGCATTAAAAGTAGTCGAATTCCCTACGGAATTGACTATGCCGTGATGTGCAGATGTCGCAGATGGTGTTGTGGAGGACTTATTCAGACTGACAGTAGGTGTCATTATCTTGGTACTGGTTTTTGACGATTTAAATTTATTCAGTCTTCGCTGCAGGGGTGTGAGGTCTGGCGAAACGGAGCAGCGCCATTTACGGCAGAAGTCTCTAGTTATCTCCCTACTCGACAAGATAAAATCAACTTCTATCATGGAGAAAAGGGTAACTAGTATCGGCGCATTACAGCTAAGCGAGCGAAGTCGCTTAGCTTGTGCGACACTGAAACTCAAGCCACAACTTTGTAGGAACACGTGCGCTCCCTCCATAGCAGATAAGTGACCCGGAATGTTTCGCAGTACGAAATTATGCTTGCGCTTAATTCTTTCCTCAGTTTCCGAATTTAATACCCCAATAAGTTTAAAAGCTTGTTCAATTACGTTTTCCAGAAGTGCTGTTTATGTCGCCATAAATCAACTGGTCGACTATTTCGCCGGCTGATGGCCTGCTACGACTAGTAGAGGCGTATATTTGGACGACTGAAGGATCGAGAGGTTCTACATGTACTAAAGGATTTGTGAGTTAATCAGATCTGCGGACGGCGAAGGACATACGCTGGCACCTACTATGTCTTCGGTCACGATTTTAGCACCCAGAGACGGTGGGGAGGCCGCAAGCTTTCACCGTTTAGAACGTGCTCTGCGGGGAATTACAGACAGGAAAAGTTTTTCGTTACAGAAGAAGGGTCAACACGTTGCCAACGTACGGAAAATCGCACTTAATAGCAAGTGCTACTGTTACTTAACTACGAAAAATAGTAGGGAAAGGAGTCAATACAAAGGTTTTTTTTACAAAATACGACTATTTTGCCAGACTGTCAAATAAAACTGGGAAAAATTATATCTTGTATTGAAAGGCGACTTTTAAAAGGGGCTTAAGTAAAAAAAACAGGCATTAGTTGCTTAAGAATATCCAGATAAATGCAAAGCTTCACTTATCTTTGAAACTGAGCTGCGCGCCTTGACCTTTCATGACGTCTTATATTCGGCACATGACATTGTATCTCGAAGATGTACATACTTTTTTACAGACTCTGTTTCTTCTTCACGGTCCTTTTTGTCGTCGGATTGACCCACGGCGGTCGCGCACATGGTCTCGTTATTTTTATTGGACAAATGCAATCAATTAGACGTTCTATAATCCCACGAAAGTACTGCCAGAATTCTTCGGAATCTTCCATTGCTGATAGAAGCGAACAGGCGAGTCCCAGGTAGCAGTTCAGAAGATGAAGATGCGATCACTGTCCCAGTGATCGCATCTTCATCTTCTGGAATCTTCCATGTTGGCTATCCAGATTTTCTTCAGAAGAGTACGTCTCATTGCGTTAACGCCCCTCTCTAAATATTTCTGCGCCTCTTGATTTTTGGTTGTTGGTTCGATAGGAGAGAGCACACACAGGTAAAAGCAATATGATTATTTAAACCGAGTGGAGGCTGTGGATTCACATCTCGTATGACTCTTTCTTCTTTACTGAAAACAAGATCTGAGCAGTTGGATCGATGTCCTTCTCTCAATCTTGTTAGAAATTTTATGCGTTTAATGAGGTATTCATTCAGAAAGAACTGTGGTAGCTTGTGGTCGAATGACGTGGGCAGGGCATTCGTTAAAGGAATTTTTCCGTCTATTCCTGGAGCGTTAGTCACCCAGAAGTAGTAGGTTCTACTGCCTACATAACAACTTCAGTGCACTTAGTAATTCCATATCGGTGATTTCATTCGAGCTGGGAGGCCAACAGACAACACATAGGTTAAGTGTCGGCAATTGTTTGATACATAACTTGCATAAAATTACAACAAAATTTCGCCGTGTCACATCGGATGTTTCTCGTTGACAGCACGGAATTTCATTTGACACATAAATCGATGTGCCTTTTCTACGGTGTATGCCACCTCCTCTACGTCCGCCAGCAATTCGTCCTTTCGCACACAATACTGTTGACAATAATGCCCGAAAATTTTAAACTGGACGTCTTGAGAAAAAAATGGCGAGCCCAGAACGAAACAGTGGAAAACCTTCTGAAATTGAGACTGGGGGGCGCGTTTAGAAAACTGTCACTTTCAAAAAAGTCATCAGAAGAAAAATTACGAAGGGATATGGAGGAGCAGTGCAGGCACATCCTGAGGGTAGAACGAAACTAAAAACGTTAATCAGCAAACGAAAACGAAACGTCTTTATAATGCGCTCCGGGATGTTAGCTGGTGGCCGATCTAGGGTGGGGTCTACAATAGAGGGTGAGACCTCGACATCTCTATGGCCTAACGGAACCTTGGTAAGGGTTAGTGATGAGCAAAATAGATGTGATTTACATCATGCGCGTCAATACGACCCCGATTATTTGTCTGGGAATTGGATTAGCTTTGACGTCTTACTTTTCGAGTGACACAATGCATGGGTTCACGAGATATCGGGACTAGTGGAACCACACACGGATAGGGAACTGCGAGCGGGATGAGGTGATTTGGCAACGGCGGGGCCTAAAATTCCCAGTGGCACCTTTTCAAAGTCACGGAGAAATGTGGTCGTGAAGGATGAGGATAATGAAAAGTTGATGGACCCAGTAATAAGATAAAGACGCAGTCTTCTGCGAAAAGCATATAAACTTTCTGACGGTCTAATATCAATTGGCAGGTTATAACAAAGGAACTTATGCCCGGGGGTAAAAGAATAGAGAGCGTTTAAATATGGAAGGGAGGGGGTCTTATGTGGACACTCTGGCGCCCTGGCTCCATGAGGCGATTGAACGAGCGTAGACAGACGAGGTTGTTCCTGGTGACTGGGGCTTAGGCATCCTTGTACCTATCCTCAAGAAGGGAGATAAGAGGAGATGCGAGAACTAACGCGGCATAAGTCTCATCGACGTCGCTGCGAAGATTTTCGCTATTGTCCTACTCAGGCGATGCCAGGCTGTGTGTGACTCAAGGACGAGGCCCAACCAAGCCGGATTTCGTGCTGGACGTGGATGCGCAAACCAGATATTTACACTGAGGCGCATTCTCGAATTTCGCCATAGCTACCAGCAACCGACGGCCGTCTGCTTCATTGACTTTGCTGCCGCGTTCGCTTCTGTTCAGCGTGAGTCCCCGTGGCGGATGATGGCGATAGATGGTGTACCGGCAAAAAATCCTCGCCATGATCAAGGCCTATTATCGCTCCACTACTGCGAGAGTCCTGGTCAGCAACAATCTTTCTTAACCGTTCGGTATTCGGTCTGGCGTCTGACAGGGTTGTATCCTGTCACCCATACTGTTCAACTATGCTATTGATTGGATCCTCGGGAGGGCCCTACGTGAGAGTGACGACGTTGAGTTTGCACCCGAACATCGACTGACTGATCTCGACAATGCCGATGATATCGCTTACTTGCTTCAAGTTTTGGTGATCTATGCTGTCACGGGTGAACGAGGTCGCTAAATCGGTTGGTTTGTCCATAAACGCTGGGAAGACCAAAGTGTTTTCAAGCTACATTCCTGACCAGGATAAGGCACCCCTCGGGATTGATGGCTGTCAACTTGAAGTAGTAGTATACAGTTTTAAATAACTCCGGGCGAGGCTACTGCCTAACGAACAGAGTAAGGACAAAATTGTCTCCCGAATCGATGCTGCCCGCTGGGTTTTCTCAAGCCTTCGAAAATGCCTATGGCACCGACGTAACCTCTCCATTGCCACTAAGATTCACGTGTACCGTGCATTTGTCCGGTCTGTCCTTCTCTACAGTTATGAATGCTGGGCTTTGCGCGTGGAGGACGAGCGAAAACTGAAGGTATTTTACCACCACTGCTTGAGTATCATCCTTCGAGGGAAGTTCACCGCTTTCGTCTCAAATTAGACAGTCCACGCTCGCTGCCACAACATCGCAAGGACAACTCCGGCCATCCAAGAAAGACGACTGAAGTAGTTCGGGCATGTTATTCGTCGTCCACCCCAGGAGCTCGGTGTTACTGCCTTCGATGCGGCACCGTTGCCCCATTGGAGGCGTCGAAGAGGGGGTCAGTTCAAAACCTGGCTCGACACAGTTCGTCAACACATGGAGGTGGTTATTGGACCTTCAGTATTCGGTCTATGTAGTTGGTGAAGAGAATGGGTTGAGCTGTCCAGATCTGCTGCCGCGGATCGTCACGCGTGGAAAGAACAGTTCGGGACATCATCGAGGCCGGCTATATCAGGCATGATCGCAGCCGTATCAAGTACAGGTAAGTAAAAGGGAGATATATAATACAAGCAGAATTACGAAGGTTGTACGGACGACTTATAAGGGGTAAGGCCTGAAATCTGTGGAGGATTTGGACTTTTGTTAAAGTGAAACAGGAGACTGAAGCCACCGTCTAGTCACCGAATTCGCAAATTTTTAGTTTAACTGGCAGGTCCAAACAACTAACCTGTTGCCCTCCTCGTTCGTTTGTTGGAACCTGAAAATGCTTTGGAAAATGCGTCTCATACGCGGTCGTCGCAGTACAATATCCAAAAGCTGGCTCAGGATATCTCTTGCATTTCACTCCACTGAATGCTCAGTGTATTGGCGTCGCCAATGAGGAGGTGAAAATGCCGACTATACGTCTCATTCAGGGCCGAGAACACGGGACAAACGCTAATATGCGTTTGTAGCGACTTGCAACAGTTAGCTTAATATTAGTAGTGAAGGTTATTCATCGCAATGAATAGCGAAATCGGTCGCCGTCTTTAGCCAAGATGGGAATGGTGACTCATAGCAGTGGGCCGAAGCTACTTCTTTATTAAAAAACAGCAATTTCCTGGTGACAACGACACAGATATTACGACAACACTGCGACGTATTAGTATGAATGCGCATAAAAACACCAGGAGTTCAGAAATTTAGAATATGAAACATACTTCCTATGGCAAAGGCATCGAAAAAAACAAATATAAAGCGACGCCTGCCATATCCCAACTAGATTATAAAACCAGCGACCTTTATAAAATTATACCCGGCTCAGGAAGGTAATGTCGGTTTAAGATAAACTAGATCTAGACGCTTGCATAAAACATACAATATTATTTAGGCGCGCACCATCTTTAACTTTGGGATCTGGAACTCTGCTACCTTCGAACTCTGAGCACCGGTAAGCCCCTGAATCCCGTTCCTGTTTTTCGCTCGGATGGACGTGGCACTCGATCTTACCCGTCAGAGTCGTGTGCAGATGGTCTTTAGTTTCTGAATTATGCCCTTCCAGGATCTCCATCATTTACGAACTCAGATAAGCTGGAAAGTGATCAGTACTTGTCTTTTTCCTTGATCTAAGAGAACGTCAGCTCATATCTAACTTGTCGCATTGTCCTTTGTTTGTTTGCTCTCGTGGCGTCGGCGGTTTCGTTTTCCCTCTTGGGTACTATCCATTTTTTCCTTACTTCCAACTTTAGCTTTAACGATGGCGGCCGTTATTATTCGTCTACAGAACCTCCCAATGTCTGCAAATACCTCAAGCATTCGTCGTTTTTTTGGTGGTCTAAATATCCCCGAGGGCGGCGTTCACATAGTTGGCGGAGACGACGGTGATGCGTTTATCGCGTTTGCCACGGACGAAGATGCTCGGAAGGCAATGCTGCTTGATCGGCAGACCATAAATTCCGCCGTAATTCGTCTGTTCTTGAGCAGTAAGGCTGAAATGCAGTCAGTAATTGAGTCTGCTCGTAATTCCGTCATGTTTCCCACTGGTAATACCCAGGCCCTACAAGTCAGTCATCTAAGTCGTCCCGAATTTGCAAAAGTGCCGGAAGCCACTCAGCCTGTCCCATCCTATAATGGTTCTGCACATTCTTCTGACAAAGTTATCTCACATGATCCCTATGCCAGTTATGGGTATCCGTCTCACCCGGCCATTCCTAATTCTTTTCAGTCTACCGCCCACCCAGTTTCTGATCCCGTCTCGAGTGCAAACATGCAATTCGGTAGAATAAGTCAGCCATCGGTGGCTACTACGGGTGGCGAACCGCCTCTTGCCGACCGTTTTAAGTTCGACTACGAATCTCGTCAGTGGTCTCATAGTAACTCCGAGCGCATTCCTTCGGGACCGTTTAAGCAAACTCCCTTCTCGGATACTAGCAACGATGTCATCACAGAGTACCAAGTCCGTCCTCCCAATCAGGAAGTTTCGGCTGTTCCAGCTAGCCGGTCGTCCTCGACCTCGTCCACATTTCCTGAACAGCGATCCGACTACGGTTATGCTTCGTATCACCACGCGTACGCCGATAGAAAACCACAGGAAAGTCGTGTCCATCCTGAATTTACGAGCCCAGGCAACCGCTTGCCGCCGCAAAATGACCGCTCAGCTGAGCAACTGGCCTATCAAAATCCGCCGTATACCACTGATACCCCAGTCGGTGGCTATGACACTTCCGTCCAAGATAGAATGTTGCCGCCTGATCGTGTATCGAGGGATACTCCAGTCCCACGAAAATCCGAAGAACGTGACTTTTCTGTCCGCCCACCCTGGCTTGGAGAGGAACCCGTGTTCCCAAAGAGGACGCCGCAATTCGATGATTCTGAAAAAATGGGACAGGCACCTCCTTTCAAGCGAATGCGCTCCGGACCCATGTCCCAGGAGTTGGGTTCGGACACCAACTTTGTCTCGAAGGTCTTGCTGCACCCACCTGATGTTTCAGTAAAAGCCATCTTTGACATTTTACAAGGCGTCAGTATCATCCCCCGGTGGGGAATACGTCTAGAGGAAGACGCGTTAAAGCGCTTTACCGGTTATGTGTACGTAATGATGAACGGCCACGACTCCATGGAACGGGCATTGAGTTTTAGTGGAACAAATTACAAGGGTAGACCTGTGAAGGTTGCAGCGTCCTCTCCTGAAGAATTTTATCGTGTCACCGATACGAACTTTGAGCTAAAATGTCCACCAGACGTACATAAGAAGATACCTCCTCGATCTACCGTAAAGCCGCCTTACTTCGCTGATGGTTGTATGGAGATTTGTGATTTGCCGCCTGATACGACTCCATCAGAAGTTGTCGCTTTTCTTGGCGCTCCTGGGCTTAAGGTCAGTGATGTAGCAATTATTCCTCCAAGTTATGGTGAGTCGAAGAGTCTTCGTGCGATCGTTCGCCTCCCTTCTCCTAAAGATCTCGACATCCTCTTGAGTGCGAGGCCAAGACCATTTAGGGGCAATCAAGGCAGCCCAGTACGTTTACTAGCTATATCTCGACTTCAATACGACTTCTTTGCCTTGAGGTCAGCTCCAAAACCGCCCGAAAGCAGACCTAGCGCCCCTAGATCCGAACCGAAACAACAACCAGTAACTCCTAGCCAGCCGCCAGCTTCAACTCCGAAAACTTGTGCCCTCATGTCCGGTTTTTCTAAAGCGATGAAGCCGTTTGAAGTGTCTCGCCTCTTTCCCAGCGTCATTATTCCGGGCGATGCCATCCACACGCTGCCTGGAGGTAGAGATGCCCTTATCGACTTTATCAGCGAAAGCAATTGTAAGAAAGCCATGTCAGACTACTCGGCCTCGGAGGCAAAGCTTAGGGAATCACACTCGGAAATATCTATGCAGGCTATTACGAGGTCGGAATTTGAGAGCAAGTTGCACGAAGTTCCCGGCTCTGATACCCCTGTCCAGAGTGATACCTATCCCCGCCCTCACCAACCCAGCAATTCAGAACGGGAATCCCGCGAATTTCGCCCCCCTCCCAGAGATAACATCCGATTCCCACCGCACCAGCCTTATCCAAGCGATTCGCCAAGATTTCGACCGCCGTCGCAGTTGAGACCGCCATTCTTTGATGAGAAGAATGGCCCCCCAAATCGTCCTGAACCCTTCCAGCGTCGACCTGAACCATTCGGGGGTTCTCGGCCGCCGCGTCCTCCGCACCCAAGTGGTTTGCCCCCTGTTCGGACTGAGTTCCCCAGAGGAGTGCCGTTATACATTAGCAATCTTTCTCCAGGAACATCTCCTGAAATGCTTTTAGATATTTTCCGCCAATACTATCCTCTCCCTGGTTCAATTAGGCTCCGCCGTGATGCCCGAGGCCATCCTATGGGTGAAGCTATGGTAGTTCTTCCGTCGAATTCCGAAGCTGAAAGGGCAGTTCGGGAACTCAGTGGGTACAGAATATACGGCAGGAACATGATCCTTCGTCACGAGCGCGGCGAATAGGTTTTGGATCCCTTTTCCAACAGACATGTCAACAAAGAACTTTTATAGCCCTTTCGCGATGCCTCCACACCTGGATTTGCAGGTGAGATTTTCGTAAATTCCCTTCAGTTTTGTCCTAAATTTTAAATTAAGCCAACAAGAATATCTCCGTTAGTTTTGTCTAAGCAGTGCAGGTAGATCACGGGGATCAGTTGCTTCTGTTGGTAATCAGTTCAACAACTTTTATACCACAGAATTCACCTGATGTCTTTGCACACAACACGTTTGCGTGGTTAGATTGCAGTGCTTCACTCCTATTAACCAGGTCTCGTTAATGTGGGAGTTTGTGCAGTCTTTTAGCAAGAATGTCCCGCCTGTTTTTCACAGCGCCTTGCGAGACTGGGCTGCCCATGTGACCTTATGGGATGCCCAGCATTACTTTCACTAGCTATAGTTTTGGGAACCTTACGGAGGACAATTTTGTCCGTAGCTTTGCTTGCCGACCGTCAAAGAGCCGAGTTCTATCCAGTCGGATAAACGCGTATATTCATTAGTTAAGATATGCCGTCTTGGTTCGTTCGTTTGCCGATTTATCACCATTGAAATAATAGCCGGTTCTTAAGTTCCTGGAAATTTTTAAAGATCCTTAGTTGTCTAAGGAGTTTTATTCGTAGCTATCTGTTCATTCAATCCGAGCTATCTTCGAGTCACATCTCAAATTGTGCGGCTGGCAGTGGAATTTTTTGTTTCAATGACAGTCGACGTACTTGATGCCGTTTATTCTATTTTGTAGTGTAGATGTTTTTATCTTTCTTTGTTTCTATGCCCTTGTCAGCATTACTTTTTCAATAAATGTCCAGCTATCTGGCGCAAAATTATTGAACTAGTCTAGTTCGCCACATGGGTTTGGTTGTGCTATTTTATTACGGTACGTTTGTTATTTCGGCTGGCACTCCATGAGTGACCTCGCCGTGGATGAATACCTAGGTTGTCAACGTAGTTTCCATAGCTTGAGGCATTAGTGACGTCTGTTACCTAACGCGTCTTCATCAGGTGGAATCCCTCGTGCGGACAATGTGAATCGAGTATAGTGGCCAGCTGACAAAACAAATTAGCCTTTCTTCGAATTAAGGGTCAGATTGCAGTGACCCTTATGACGTCTAACAAATGTGCGATTCGAGCGCGTGTGTGGCACACGTTAGACAACGAATGTACACCACTGGGTCCCACCTTGTCTTCAGTCGGTTTGCTTCGGACAACTTACTGGCACTCGTGAAAGAAAAGTAAAGACAGGTTCCCCTTGGTCACCTTGCGCATCTACAAATAACCGAAGGCGGGACGGTCCTAAACAAAGGTTAGCTGGGAAATAAGCAGGCCTTCGAGTCTGACGAATTAGCGGTCGTGGACCAGCACCGAGTGTTACCAGCGTGCAGGGGCCTGAGGTCTGGCGCACTGACCACCTTATTGGGTGCCGCAAGGTCCGATGGCATAGTAGTCAACTATCACCACAGTGTTCCGGCTAAATTCCTTAAGTCTCTAAAGCAGGCTGCCTTGAACAAACGATTCTACGGCCTTTGGGGGTTATCCTTTACTTAAGATTCCCAAGAAACCTCATGATGATGCCCTACTGGCGCCGAATATATCAGTTTCAGGCACAGCTGCACCAAATACAGATGAGTAATGCCGACCCAGCGCTTAGTTTCTTCACTACATATAAGTAAACGCGTTTTGTAGATGTAAAGACGTGCCAGCGGTCGTGGCTCGAAAGGTGGTCACTTTATAAGATAAGTTAGTGCTGCTCATGCCTGACGCCCGTAAATCTAGGGGCCACGCCGCGTGGCCCGTATGCGCGGGCTTTTTAGCTCTGTCACATGCCTCCCCCCACGGAAATGGTGGTAGGCCTCGTCTCTCAGTGTTCTAACTAGTATCCATAGTGACTAGCCATCTGCCGTCCTAACAATGGTGCTGTAATATAGATAACAAGCCTGCGTAAACTTGCTTTTTTGTGAAAGGTAATTGGTTGTGGAATTCATCTCCGATTAGATTGCCAAACTTCAGACTCAAAACCTTGCTATGATCCGGCTAATTGAAACGATATTTCAGAACTTGCATTAACCCAACTAGTTGTTTTCTACTTTTGGTAAGAACGTGTGAATAATTGATTTCAAAGTGGTAAAACACGCAGTAAGAACCCAATTTTTGCGGCCTGGCAAAGTTAAAAGAATGTAAGCGTCTTCATAACCCCACTCCATCTACGTTTGGTTTTTTCACAAAGGTGGAATTGCGCCTGGTTCACTTTGCCCTTGTCGCCGTTGGCACTCATCCCCAATGCTATTAGTAAGATGCATTTGCTCGAGTAAGTGGGCGCATGTTCATAAAAGCCCATACCAGCCCTGCTTTCTATCGCTGGTAGCCTCAAGCGCCTAAATAATCTTTTACCTACGAGTCTCGCTATCGTGGTTGGGATCGGGCCAATCAATATCGAACGCTGAGTTAACAGTGGTTTCTCAGTCAGATCGGTGTGCACACCCAGCTTCGTGCGTAAGTGGTCATACTCCCTCGGGTGCCGCACTCTGAGCTGACGGCTAGAAGAGACACTCATAACAAACGTTTTTCAACAATCACAAGCTACTTTATGCTCATTTTATGAACCCAACACAACATGCCATGGTCCAGACGACTACTTTACCAGCTTTGGTAGGGTAACTCAAATTAAGGAAAAGGCACTTGAGCAAGAAAATAAAGTATTCGCTATTAAAAATGCACAATATGTCCACTAGCTACATTTATGCGTGATACTTGTGTAGTGTTCATCCAACATGTAGGTCACTTTTTGTCCGCCCGGTGAGGAGCTTATCTCTCTCAGTTGTCCTCGGTGGCCAAGTTCGCGGTTCAAGCGTCGGCTGATATTCATTTCTTGATGGCCATCCCGTCTATCCATGGCTTGCTTAGATAGCCGAGGATCGGCGTAAGAGTCGCCTTTCTGTCATTGTTTTCAGCCTAAACTCTGGAAGTAACTAGGTGATGGCTATGATGCAGTGGTATGGAAGACCTTCATCGCACGATCAGGGTGTTGTCAGTTATGTGCGAGTTTGCGCAATAGAGATAGTGTAACCATGTTTACCTGCGTTTGGTCTCCCCATGTGTGGTTCGTGCTTGTACCTTGAGGGTCGCTTTTTTACAAGACTTGCAATTGTACTAAGACGGATCTGCGTAAGGTATTTTAGTTCTGGGTGGAAATAAGCGTTATGTATTCCCAGTGCATCTATTTTTTGTCTTCAATATCACGAAACAGCCGATCACTCCTCAGCGGTAGTATAATACTTTGCAAGGAAACGGAGACTGGGTAGGTCACTTATAACCCTCCCAAGACATCAGCTATAAAAATCATATGGCTTGCCCGTCCTCATCTGTTTTGTTTAAATCCGGCCGTTTCGTGACGGACCCCGGTTATCATTCAAAATAGAAGCGATTCGAAAACCATTGGACCTGCCTAGCCGGTCCATGCGAACCCGCCCGTGTAGGTTGGTGCTGTTGTGCTCAATCTCAAAAGGTAATTTGGCTAGGCTTTTTCACCTGGACCTCGCCTATCTCGACCACCATGCCGGTTTGGAGAGGCAAGGCCAGGTTTGGGAGTGTGCAACACATGCCCCCGTTATCGAAGTAGTACTTGATGACAGGTGTGAGTTAGATTGTTCACATACCTAAGGCATCTATGAACGCGGAATGCACCGTCCTCATGATTGTCAGGAAAATTGACCTACTCGCATCCAGATAAAGTGGGAAGAGGTGGGTGGTGACTCGCTCGAGTCTTTGGCTTTCAGACTCGACTATGTAAATGAATTTAAGCAAATATTGCTCACTAAGATGATAAATTAACTTCCTCGTTCAATGTACGAAACGGCTCCAAGAGGTTGTTTGCGCCTTTCAAAAGTCCTGAATCCCTTACCGAGAGGCTGATTATGCTGGTCTTGCGTTTCCTGTTCCGTAAATATGTGTCATGGGCTCACACCATGTCATAAGCTAAAGGATTCAAAGGTTTTGCAAGGTTATATGGCATGGAAGAAAAAACTGCAAATTCCTCGGGTTAATTCTGCCTGTACCACTCGAATTCTACGCCTTGGACGAGGCTCGAACCTTGACGCCCTGGGCGAACATACTTTGCCCAAAAAGACTTAATCTTGACTCTGTCATGGCCCTAAGACACTATGTACTAATTTCTAACTTCCTTTTGTTGTTTGCGGCAACTCATTGTAACATAAACCAGGATTTATGGAAGTCCTAAAGCTACCTAATTTCTCGTACGCCAGTCGTGTCTACTAAATGGCTCGCCCGACGGGCATTACCAGATGTACCCCTAAGTCTGGTTCCGGTCTCAGTTGCGTGTTTAAATGACATGGCAGCTGGCAGGCGGACCAGTGGGGCGTGTGTACCTCAACTTATCGTCCGCTAGGCGTGCGTCACATGGTTTTCTGTCCAAAATAAGGTGAAAAACAGTCTACAAAGTAAGGTTTTTATATTCACTCCACCTAGTTCTCTTTGGAGACGTTCGGACTTGTGGGTTCCAGTGACTAGCTCAATCACGATCCTCAGGTATTTCTAAGCACTTATTGCCAAGGCTCGATGACAATGGCAATTATCCAGGCAGATGTTAATGAATTTCGTTGGATCCATGGTTGGAAGAGCCAAACTCGGTCCCTGCCCGCCTTGGACTAATTATGACTTGACTTCAGCTGCGGTAGTCCGGTCTGCACTACCTCGGCCACATAGATCTGCGACCACTAATCGCGGCGTGTTGCCCTGGCGCTGTAGTCTAATGCCTGAATTCGGACCCCGAAAACACAGTCACCTTGTTTCCCCTCCGCGTATGCACGGGTATGCGTCAGTTCCGTAAGTGCGATAGAGAACTCCAGACCCGGTTACTGGTACACCGCCTCAAATCTTGGGTGTGGGCGGACTCGATATCACGTCTGCCTGCTCGGAATGCCACGCGTGTTTCTCGGGGGGTCGAATCATGTATA